TCAGTCTTTCCTCATAAGTGTCCTGGGTTCAGCAGTAGCAGTCATTTTTCTCCTCCTTGGTAGCTGGTGTAGTGCAGTGTTTTGACTTTCAGCTCGGGAACAGAGCTGATAGCGATGTTTTGGTTTGGCCAAGGACTTTGTGAGCCTCATGCTCTGCCAGGGAGGAGGGGAAGCCAGGAGGAAGCAGAGACAGGACACCTGACCCAAACTGACCAAAGAGGTATTCCATACCACAGCACGTCATGCCCAGGAGGTAACTGGGAGTTAGCCGGAAGGGCTGGGAGACTGCAGGGTTGGAGGAGGTATCGGTCGGTGCTTGGTCGGGCTGAGGGGGGCGAGTTATCGGTCGGCTGGTGCTGAGGTGTTGTATTCTCTTCCCTTGTTATTTCCTTTATCATTATTATCATTGGTGGTAGCAGTAGTGATTTGTGTTATACCTTAGTTACTAAACTGTTCTTATCTCAACCTGTGGGAGTTGCATTCTTTTCGATTCTCCTCTCTGTCCCTCCGGGAGCAGGGGGAGGGCAAGAAAGTGGGGGGAAGTGAGCGAACGAATTGCCTGACTGGGTTTAAACCACGACAATAAGGGAGATGCTCCACTCCCTTAATCATCTTAGTTGCCCTGCACTGGACTCTCTCCAGCAGGTCCCTGTCCTTCTTGAACTGAGGGGCCCAGAACTGGACACAATATTCCAGGTGCGGTCTCACCAGGGCAGACTAGAGAGGAAGGAGGACCTCTCTCGACCTACTAACCACCCCCCGTCTAATACACCCCAGGATGCCATTGGCCTTCTTGGCCACAAGGGCGCATTGCTGGCTCATGGTCATCCTCCTATCCTCCAGGACCCCCAGGTCCCTTTCCCCTTCACTACTGTCCAGCAGGTCAACCCCCAACCTGTACTGGTACATGGGGTTGTTCTTCCCCAGATGCAAGACTCTACACTTGCTCTTGTTGAATTTCATCAAGTTTCTCCCCGCCCAACTCTCCAGCCTGTCCAGGTCTCGCTGGATGGCAGCACAGCCTTCTGGCGTGTCAGCCACTTCTCCCAGCTTAGTGTCATAAGCAAACTTGCTGATAGTACACTCAATTCCCTCATCTAAATCATTGATGAATATATTAAATAATACTGGTCCCAGTACTGACCCTGGAGGCACTCCACTAGTTACAGGCCTCCAACTAGACTCCGCCCCATTGACTACAACTCTCTGGCTTCTCTCCTTTAGCCAGTTCATAGTCCACCTCACTACCTGATCATCCAGACCACAGTTCCTCAATTTAGCTGTGAGGATGCTGTGGGAGACTGTGTCACATGCTTTGCTGAAGTCAAGGTAGACCACATCTACCGCTCTGCCATCATCCGTCCACTGTGTTATTTCCTCATAAAAGGCTAAGAGATTGCTCAAGCATGATTTCCCCTTGGTGAAGCCATGTTGACTGCCCCTCATAACCCTCTTATCCTTGATATGCCTTAAGATGGCACCAAGGATAAGGTGTTCCATCACTTTTCCAGGGATGGAGGTGAGGCTGACCGGTCTATAGTTACCCGGGTCCTCCTTCTTGCCCTTTTTGAAGACTGGAGTGACATTTGCCTTCCTCCAGTCCTCAGGCACCTCTCCCGTTTCCCAAGACTTGGTAAAGATGATGGAGAGTGGTCTAGCAATGACTTCCGCCAGTTCCCTCAGCACCCGCGGGTGCATCCCATCTGGACCCATGGATTTATGGATGTCCAGATTGCTCATCTGGTCTCTAACCCATTCCTCATCGACTAAGGCAAACCGCTCCGTTGACCTGACTTCATCTAAGGTCTCAGGGGTACAGGACTCTTCAGGACTGCCTGCAGCAGAGTAGACAGAGACAAAGAAGGCATTCAGTAACTCTGCCATCTCTGTATCTTCTGTCACCAGGGCACCCATCCCGTTCATCAGTGGGCCTACATTGCCTCTGGTGTTAGTTTTATCTGCCATGTATTTGAAAAAGCTCTTTTTGCTGTCCTTGACCCTTCTTGCCAGGTTTAATTCTAAGGAGGCCTTAGTCATCCTAGCTGCCTTCCTACATCCTCTAGCAGCAGCCTTATATTCCTCCCAAGTGGCCAGCCCCTCCTTCCATGACCTGTAAACTCTCCTCTTCCACTTGAGCATACCCAGCAATTCCCTATTTAGCCACGAAGGTCTCCTGGCCCTCTTCCTTGACTTCCTATGTGTCGGTATGTTCTGATCTTGAGCTCAGAAAAGCAATCATTGAATTCCAACCAACTATCTTGTGCCCCTGTCGTGGTTTAAACCCAGTCAGGTAACTTGTTCACTCACTCCCAGTGAGTGGTGCCGAGCTGACAACAATCAAGGTCCGTGTCCGTCTCTCCCCCCCCCCCGCACCGGGGCTCTCCCCTTCCCCGCTCCCGGAGGAACGGGGAGGAGGATCGAGGGAGTGCAACTCCTACGGGTTGAGACAAGAACAGTCCAGCAACAAATCACCACCGCTACTATCAGCTAAAACAATGATAAGGGAAAATAACAAGAGAAGAGAATACGATACCACCGGCCAAGAAAGCGAGTTCCACCCGGAAGCCCCTGTCCTTCCGGGTAACTCCCAGTTACCCCCCACCCCGGGCATGACATGCTGTGGTATGGAATACCTCCCCGGCTAGCCCGGGTCAGGAGCCCCGTCTCTGCTTCCTCACAGCCTCCCCTCCTCCCTGGCAGAGCATGAGCCTCACAGAGTCCTTGGTCAGGGTAAACATCACTTAGCAACAACCGAAAACATCGGCTTCACCAACACTGTTCTCAAACTAGAGGTCAAAACACAGCACTGCACCAGTTAACACAAAGGAAAAAAACATGACTGCTACTGCTGAACCCAGGACAGCCCCTTTACCTTCAAACAGCCTTGCCCATGGGATTTCCCCTAGCAATTTCTTGAAAAGGCCAAAGTTTGCCCTGCTAAAGTCCAGGGTTGCAATTCTACTTGCTATTCTACTGGTCCGACCACACAAGATCCTGAATTCCACCATCTTGTGGTCGCTGCAACCAAGGCAGCCCTCAACCCTTACTGCTTGGACCAGACCCTCCTTGTTAGTGAGGGTGAGATCCAGCAGCGCTCCTCTCCTGGTTGGCTCATCCACCATTTGCAGGAGGAAGTTATCATCCATACACTGGAGGAACCTCCTGGACTGTGGCTGGGTTGCTGAGTGGTCCTTCCAGCAAACATCAGGGAAGTTAAAATCCCCCACGACGACCACGGCCTGTGACTGTGAGGCCGCTCTTAGCTGCCTGTAGAAGGCCTCGTCAACTTCCTCACCCTGATCTGGTGGCCTGTAACAGACACCCACAACAGTATCGCCCCTGCGAGCCTGCCCATTAATTCTCACCCACAGACTCTCAACTCGCTCGTCATCTGTCCCTGGACAGAACTCAGTGCATTGTAGCTGCTCTCGCACATAAAGAGCAACCCCACCACCCCTCCTGGCTGGCCTGTCTTTCCTGAAAAGGACATAGCCCTCCATGACTATATTCCAGTCATGTGAGCTGTCCCACCACGTCTCTGTAATTGCCACCAGATCATAATCTCCTGACTTAACACAGGTTTCCAACTCCTCCTGCTTATTTCCCATGCTGCGCGCATTGCTGTACAGACATTCCAGGGAGCGAGCTGAGCACACCGATTTCACCCTAGGATTATAGGAGGCCTCCCAGTCTTCATCAATTCTGGAGTGCTGCCCCACTGGGGCAAGCCCAGCTACAACCCCATCCCCCTTTTAATCTAGTTTAAAGCTCTCCAAATGAGCCCTGCTAATTCATGCCCCGGCATCCTTTTGCCTCTGTGAGATAAACCTTTCCCACTTGTCATTGTCCAGACTGGTGCCCTATAAAGCCAGCTGTTATCAAAGAATCCAAAGCCCTGCCTGTAGCACCAGTCTCGAAGCCAATCGTTTATGGACTGAATTTTCCCTGATCCGGGCTCCAGGCAAAATACACACTTCCCTAAGATGAGGGTCAACTCTGCATATCGGGCCCTCTGTTCCTCTCAGGAGGGAATCACCTACTACAAAGACCCTTCTTTCTTTCTTATCAGAGGCAGTCTTGAGGTGCAAAGTCGACCGCCTTTTCCTATGTGGCCTCGTAGGCTGGCCTTGCCCCACATTTTCACCTACCTCTCCTTCAAGATCCAGGGCCTCAAACCTATTACGGAGGGACACCTGGGGAAGCAGGGCAGGAAGGGGGGAGGGTTTCCCACGACACTGAACTGGAACTCGCTTCCAACCCTCGGCGTCTTTTTGGTCCCCTACCTCTGCGCAACAGCTACAGGGCAGGGGGTGTCTCGGGTCATCCCCCTCTGTGTGAGAAGGCAGGGGGTCCTTCCCCTTTTGGGGGGTATCTCCCTGGAACCGCTCCAACTGGCACACTAGGGAGTTACTCCACCAGTCGATCTCCCTTTCACACTCCCTGATGGTCCTCAGCATCTCAACCTCCTCCTTAAGTTTTGCCACCAGGCTAAGCAGATCTTCTACCTGCTCACACCTCATGCAGGTGGAATGCTGTCCTCCCTCCCCCGGCAGCAGCAGGCTCTGGCACTCCCTGCATCCAGAGACCTGAACAGCCGCAGTTTGGGACGGGGTCTCTGTCTGAGTTGCTGCAGTCTTCTTACTGAAAGCTCTCTTTCTGGAGGTGAACATAATGGTCCGCAGTCGGACACCAGCAACAGGGTCAGCAACACGACCTGCTTGTTCCTCCCTGCGCCTGGTGGGCAGCGACACGTCGCTGCCCTCTCAGAGGCTCTTTCAAGGCAAGGGGCAGGGGGGTGGTCACTGTCACCGTGGGAACGCCCCCCGCCACTTCAGCCGCTCTCTCACAAGGGCTGCTGGGGCTTCGGGGATCGGGAGATGTCGGGAATCGCGATGCCTCTGTGCTATCCCCTCTGATTTTCCTAATCTCCGTTGACCCTCGCGGTCGCTGAAGCTTGCCGGCTGCGGCTCTAGCTAGGCTAGCTCCGATCAGCTGACTGAATGACTGCGCCCAGCGTGGCACAGACTTTCTGGAATGGGCTCAGTCAAAATGTTCTCAGAGCAGCATCCAGCAGAAAATATGCCTCAGAAGCAATTAAAGGTGCTGTTATTGGAATTGATTTGGGCACAACCACCTCCTGCGTGGCAGTTCTGGAAGGAAAGCAAGCGAAAGTGCTGGAAAACTCTGAAGGTGCCAGGACAACCCCTTCAGTTGTTGCATTCACAGGTGATGGCGAGCGCTTGGTTGGGATGCCAGCAAAGCGGCAGGCGGTAACTAACCCCCACAACACCTTCTACGCCACCAAGCGTCTCATCGGACGGCGCTATGATGACTCTGAAGTGAAGAATGATATTAAATATGTTCCATTTAAAATTGTCCGTGCCTCCAATGGTGATGCCTGGGTAGAGGCTCATGGGAAACTCTATTCTACAAGCCAGATTGGTGCCTTCGTACTAATGAAGATGAAGGAAACTGCAGAAAATTACCTGGGGCATGCAGCAAAGAACACTGTGATCACAGTCCCTGCTTACTTCAATGATTCTCAGAGACAGGCTACAAAAGATGCTGGGCAGATGGCTGGCTTGAATGTTTTGAGGGTGATTAATGAGCCAACAGCAGCTGCACTTGCCTATGGTTTGGACAAGTCTGAAGACAAAGTTACAGCAGTCTACGATTTGGGTGGTGGCACTTTCGATATCTCCATTTTGGAAATCCAGAAGGGAGTCTTCGAGGTGAAGTCCACCAATGGTGACACTTTCTTAGGTGGAGAAGATTTTGACCAGGCTTTGATCCAGTATATTGTTAAAGAGTTCAAGAGAGAGATGGGTGTTGACCTGACTAAAGACAACATGGCCCTTCAGAGGGTGAGGGAAGCATCGGAGAAAGCCAAGTGTGAGCTTTCATCATCTGTGCAGACTGACATCAACTTGCCATACCTTACTATGGATGACTCTGGACCAAAGCACTTGAACATGAAGCTGAGTCGCTCGCAGTTTGAGGGCATTGTAGCTGATCTGATCAAAAGGACGGCCAGAAAGCCATACAGGATGCTGAAGTCAGCAAGAGTGACATCGGTGAAGTCATCCTCGTTGGTGGCATGACCAGAATGCCAAAGGTGCAGCAGACTGTACAGGATCTGTTTGGCCGTGCTCCTAGCAAAGCTGTTAATCCTGATGAAGCTGTTGCTATTGGTGAAGCTATTCAAGGTGGTGTGTTAGCTGGTGATGTTACTGATGTGCTACTGCTGGATGTAACTCCCCTCTCCTTGGGGATTGAGACACTGGGAGGTGTCTTCACAAAGCTCATCAACAGGAATACTACCATACCAACAAAAAAAAAAGGTCTTAGAACCCATCCTCTCTCTTTCCCTCCTGTCTCCTGGCTGCTCACCTGAATTTTTCTCTGAAGTATGTGAAGCTACCTGGGATTTTTGGTCTGCTTGGTCCACCCGGCAAGATGATCGTTCAGCTGAGACAGTCCTCTCCAGAGTAGGCAGCCCTCTTCCACGAACTGCACCTTTCGTTCCGCGATCACGTTGGGGTCACCATTTGAGGGGATTTAAGGCACGGACTCCTATTGCAAGTTGAAGACCCTTTTACTTCAGATTACAAAGATTATATACATTTTACATTATGTCCACACGCTCAGAGCTACAATGTGATTGGTTAGTTGCTGCTGTACATGCACACAAGACGAGCTTTTAATTGGTTAGTCTGCCTTTTTCCTTTTGACCTTCTCCTCACTTCTCAGTTCCTACAGAGTTTTGCTGGAGTCTAGTTCCTCAAAGAACTAAAATTACAGAGAGTCTGTTGCAGAATGGCTCCAAGAGCAAGGCCATGGATCCTTAGAGGCCTTGTGCGAGCAAAGCAAGGTGTAGGCCTCACAGGTAACCTGATACCGGATGTGGGAGGAGAATGTGAAGGAAGCTGTGTAGAAGTAACCTATACTGTTGTGACTAGGAGGCGTGGCTAAACACCACGCGGATATAAGCGAAGTGCGCCACAAATAAAGTAGAAGTTTGCTTATCACCCATATTGGGTTGGCGTGTCTTGCTTCTCCTCGCCGCTAACAAGAGTCTTGCTCAAAGTTAGTTCCCCATAGAATTAAGGTTGCTCTGCATATTCTGACCAAGTTCAAACTCATCCTACAAGGGAAACTTTCAATTACTCTGTAATTCTCCTCAAGACAACTCAAAGTTGTTTACGGATGAAATAAGTTTAAATTTCCCAGGGAACTGAATGCAATGAACACATCCAGGATTTTAGATCACCATTTGTCCTGGGTTAAGCAGTAGCAGTCATTTTTCTCCTTTTTAATAGCTGGTGCAGTGCTGTGGTTTTGACTTTCAGCCTGGGAACAATGCTGGTAACACCAATGTTTTTAGTTGTTGCTCAGAAATATTTACTCCAATCAAGGACTTTGTGAGTCTCATGCTCTGCCAGGGAGGAGGGGAAGCCAGCAGGAAGCAGAGACAGGACACCTGAACCAAACTAGCCAAAAAGGTATTCCATACCACAGCACGTCATGCCCAGTAAATAAACTGGGGGCAGTTACCCAGAAGGACTAGATCACTGCTCGTGTCTGGCTGGGTATCGGTCGACGGGTGGCGAGTGGTTGTCTTCCCTTCCCTTGTTATTTCCTTTATCATTATTGTTATTGGTGGTAGCAGTAGTGGTTTTGTGTTATACCTTAGTTACTGGACTGTTCTTATGTCAACCCATGGGAGATAGATACATTCTTTTGATTCTCCTCCCCATCCCTCTGGGTGCAGGGGGAAGAAGGGGGAGGAGTGTGCGAGTGGCTGTGTGATTCTGGGTTGCCACCTGTGCTTAAACCACGACACCATTTTGTTTCCATCTCTGGGTATTGTTCCAGAATACTGTTTTCCCTACTTTTGATGTTTAATTGTTTCTCTAAATCTCTCAAGCAGCCTCCAGCTGTGTGCAATATCATTCAGGCATAACAGAAAAGTGACAATATTAGACTTTGTCCATGGCTTTTAGATCTCCTTGATATTGTGGGTGAGGACCATCAGCCTATTTATATCTTTGAAACAGAGAGCGGAACAGTGTTCATCCTTTTGCCTTTAAAAAAAAGCCAAATAGCAGTATTTTTATTATGCTGTTGATAGGTGCAAATTTGCTAATTGATTGCACAGGTCATAGATTAAGAATTGCTGATTTTCGAGCTGCAGCCAGGTTGGCATCAAAAGGAGCTGGTGCTGGGGAGTTTCAGGGGCAGTTGTTGGGAACTATTGCATTTATGGCACCGGAGGTAAGGAACCAGTTTTGGAAATTACTTCGAAAAGTTTGTTTGTACTCTTTAAGCTAATTCATACAGCCAAATAATAGAAATGTGGTTTAAATGTACTTGTTCTAAACTTTAGGAACTATTCCAACATGGTGATAATGACATTTCTTTCTTGCTGTCAAAGTTGTTCTAAGTAGCTTGTTGCAAGATACGTGATAAGTATTGCTATTAAAGATCAAATGACTGTTTGGTCAAAAGCTATCTATTGCAAGATAATTTGCCCCTTGATCAGGAATTTTACTTACTAGCTCTCTACAGCTGTATAAATCTCATGCCATAAGTGGATAATCTGAGCTTTGATCTGTCCAGGTTCTGAGATGTCAGCAATTTGGCAGGAGCTGTGATGTGTGGAGTGTTGGCTGCGTTGTTATAAAAATGGCTTGTGCTAAACCTCCCTGGAATGCAGAGAAACACTCCAATCATCTTGATCTGATATTTAAGGTGAGGTAATTTGTTTCTACAAATATGCTACAGAAGACACTGACTAATTTGATATACAGCAATGTGAATTTTAGAAAAGTATACAAGTGGTAGGGTTTGTTGCAATGGCTCTTCTTTATACTGGTGCTGTTAGTACAAAAATGACTATTGATGCCAACATAATTATACTTGCTCATTTAAACAAAAAAAAGGCTACCAACACAATATAATATGCAGAAAAAGCTCTGGTGTAAAATATAAATATGTAATGTAACAGGCTTAAAAAGATAATATTTAGGAATAGAGTTGATCTTGACTCCAGGCAAAAATTGGAGTTTGAGCTCTTTCCTTACAATCCTGTAAAAAAGAAAAAGATGTTTTTCTACCATATAATGGTTGTGTATGCATATTTCATAGTGGGGAATGTCCTTTCGTAAAAACCTGATGTTCCATGTTCTGATTTTGCTGAAAGATATTTACCATTATGCCATGCTATATATGAATATTATTCCTTCTGACCTTCTAGGTCATATATTTTGTCATTCATGTTTCTTACTAAAATCAATTAGGTATATTTAATTCTAAAAATATAATTGAACTGTAGGCATGAATAAAGAAAATACTGCCACAGTTGAAGAAAGTGATTAGCATGAGTGAAGAAAGTGTTTCCACAAAACAAAACTAGCACACCAGTATTCAAATATGTTCTAATTAATTACAAATCATATATGAGAGATGTAATTAACTTGGTTCTGTGCCTGTGAAACTGGTGGTGTCACCCTAGTGTTCTCAATCTTAGCTTGATCTAGAGAAGATCAAAATAAATTTGGTCAAGAGTGGTCTGCTTCTGTCTGAGAAAGATTGCCCTTTGGGGTGGCAGCAGAAATACAGTAAAGACAATGCAAGAGAGCATACCCAGCTTAACATATCATAACGTAACATCACTCAGCTTAATATATCTCAGTGTTTGCCTACACTATGCCAATTAACAGTGATGGCAAGTATTAGACTAAAGAATGCCCATGTCACATAAAAGCTTTTACGGCCTGCTTTGCAGATGGTTACTGCAGAATCTTGCCGCAAGAGGAAAATTTAGAAAACAGTACAAGGAGAGAGGCAGACTGTGAAAAGTAATAGAACATATGTTATTGAGGAAAGTAGCATAACGGGAGCTTAAGACCCTTTTTGTAAAATGGAAGCAGTAATTTAATTCTTAAACTCCATTAGGGAATATTCTAAGTGGATAAAAGCTCATAATTAGTCAGCTGAAAATTATTAGCTTGTTGAAGGCTTTTGGCCTTCACTGACTTCTAATTCTAAGAAAGTTACTTTCCCTTTGTTCAGATTGCTAGTGCAGCTACTGCTCCATCTATCCATTCACATTTCTCTCCTGGTTTGAGAGATGTGACTCTTTGGTGTTTAGAACCTCAACCTCAGCACAGACCCCCATCAAGGGAGCTGCTGAAACACCCAGTCTTCCATACTACGTGATAGCTACTTATGTGCAAGGCTGATATACCAAAGATGCTGCTACTGAAAGTATGATAACTATCTTGCAGTGCAGTTAGAGCACAGACACTTATATTATTCTGCTGGCCTTAATGATAGATACATCAAGAACATAAGACCAGTGGAGGCCCCTAAGTATATGAATGACAAATTGAGATCTTTACCTAAGCTCAGTATGCAACGTTTCACAACTTGTACAGAGACTTGTAAACTGTGCCTTTTCAAACATCTGTCTCTATGTGAACACAAAAGCATTTTTTCCTTAAATCTGCATAATTACTTATTTGGAGCACTTTTTAAGCAATATTAGCAGCTGAGGGGCTCGGGATCTATTTCAGTAAATGCCATGGTTTAAACCCAGTCAGCCATGCAGTTTCTACGCCCCCCCCCTTTCTTTTCTTCCCCCCCCCCCCACCGCTCCTGGAGGGAGGAGAATCAAAAGAATGTAACTCCCACAGGGTTGAGATAAAAACAGTCCAGTAACTAAAGTATAACACAAAGCACTACTGCTACCACCAACGATAATAACGAAATAACAAGGGAAGAGAATACAATACCACCCACCGAAATGAGCCTGACCCAGAAGAGAGCGAGTGCCCTTCCGGATCACTCCCAGTTACCTCCCCAGGCATGATGTGATGTGGTATGGAATACCTCTTTGGCTAGCTTGGGTCAGGTGTCCTGTCTGCTTCCTCCCAGCTTCCCCTCCTCCCTGGCAGAGCATGAGACTCACAAAGTCCTTGGTCAAACATTACTTAGCAACAACTAAAAACATCGGTGCTCTCTGTTCCCAGGATGAAAGTCAAAACACAGTGCTGCACCAGCTACTAAGAAGGAGAAAAATTGACTGCTACTGCTAAACCCAGGACAGTATACCAATCACTGTTCCATTTCACATCATGTAGATGTAAGCAGAGTTCTGCAGTTAGTCAGTTTTCAGCACTGGTTAAAAGGAAGTTCTGTATCTGTCTCTTAATTACACAAAGTTCTCAAGTACCAAATCCAAATATTGATGGATACTTTAAAAAAACATTTTGCCTTCCTTAAAGTAAGAGCAGGCAGTTGTGGTTCACTGCATTTACCACTGGTCATGTAATTACTTCTGAAATTAAAGTTTGTTTTGTCAGGTGATCTTTTAAAATAGTCTTTAGAAAAAGATGCCACTGTGTCATGGAACATCTTGCTGACAGGTTTTTAAAACAGATTTGCTGGAAATCTGGAATAAAATAAAAAACCATCTGATAGTATA